AAACTAAAACTACCATTTTCTGTTTATTTAATACCGAAAACACCCTAATGTACACACAGTCATTGTAACATGCGTACTAGTGTATGTGAGTGTATTGGCGCTCTACGCTTTTATGCTGAGTTCGTACGTACGCATTACAGTGTGTGTTAGAGCGAGATCAGTACAGTCTGCTGTACTGCTCTCGCTAATGCTGTGTGCACTATTTCGCCTGTGCAACGCGGCGGGCTTCGTTCCACCGCACAGAAAACATATGGGAAGGCACGGCTAAAGTACATTTCAAACTCTTGTGGCTGAAGTGAATGTCCCAATTTTGGCAGCACTTCACCAGCCAACTCACGTAGAGCAACCAAATATTCGCTATCATCATTTTCCTCATCGCCAGTATTATCGTTGAACTGGCATGCCACTTTCGATGCAAGCACATCGTGGATGCAGCTGAAAATGTGATTTTTCATGTCTTCGTTGAACGGTTTGGGTTTTTTTTTCTGACCTTTTTTATCTCTCGCTCACATCACCATTTTCCCATTTTGTCGCACGGATGCATGCAGCGATTGCCGCCACCACCACCGCTACCGCCGTCGCCCTTTGTTTCATTATTATTATTCGCAATCATTTTATTTATGACTTTGTCGAATTTGTCTCTTTGAGCCTTCGTTTCGTTTCGTTTTTTTTTATTCTCGGCGCAAATTCGTTAACACTCGACACACAAATTTTCTTTTATTGTACACAGTTTGGAAAATGCACAAGAACATCGAGTCTTTCTTTTTAAATGGCTTCAAATAAATAATTTTCAATGGTCAAATGTGTTTGAGCGACGAAAAAAACGTATTTGTACGATATAAGAATAAGAACATTTTTATACACTTCACATTTTACTGGCTGACGATGACCTGGATTTAGAGTTTTTCTGTTGTGTGCTTTGCCAACATTGAAATCAGAACAAACCACGGAAATGGGACATTATTTTGGTACATCTTTTCATTAGACTGCTTCAAAAAAAAAAAATTGTCCTCCATCTGAAAAATCCGGCCAGTTTCGAAAAATATACCTAAAAAAAAATAGGTTTGGCGCAAAGAACGCATATGGGTATCATAGAAATTGGTGAAGCAATCCCCATATCAAAATTTTCATGACAGCGTTTTCGAAAGCCATTTTAGATCGCTACATTTCGGCCCAAATCATTTTTTCAGCCAATTTTTGGCAAAAACTGATGATGGGATTTTGTCTGGTTCGTCAATATCTACAACTTTAACCGAGACATTAGCCCTTGAAAAGGCATTCTGGGCCAGTTACAGTGTAAAATGACCAAAAAAATGACAATTTTTCGGCATTTTTTACATTTTTCGTTCTACTGGTCACCCAGGTGGTAGACTTTGGTTCGGTTTTCGACTTGTGTCGTGTAGCCAAAACCTGCACAAAAATTTTGGTACTTGTCAGATTGCGATTTGGATGGAATCATGGAATTTGGCGACAATTGATTCACACATATGGGACAAATTTCAGGCCAAAATGAGCAAATCACAAACATGAGCTTCGGTTTGACAGGTAAAAGCCAATGATTTCTACCTTTTATACCTTTGAACATCTAGTATGGTCCTTTACGAACATTTTGAGTACTTCATGACCAAATCGAGTGATGTTTTCACATATTTCTGGCCTCATATTCGATTTCAACTCCCAAAAAATCGACTTTTAACCAAAAACCGACCTTTTTTGACCTTTTTTAGGGATGGTGTCTTGGTGCAATGATATTTTTTCTCAAAAATATGGGGATTCGACCCAGACAAAAACTCTCAAAATTGACTTTTTAAGGTACCTCCCCAACAAAATATACGTTTTTCATGGATTTTGCTATGAAAATATCAATTTTTGTTCGGGAGGTACCCCAAAAATACACTTTTTGGATGAGTTTCTTAGTGAAAAATTATTTTTTTTGAGAAATATTGGGAATTCACTCATACAGAAGCTCTTATGAATGATTTTTGGGGTACCTCCCGAACAAGTAAGTTAGTTAGAGTTTTTCTCTCCAGTGGCGCTTTTTTATGACGTTGGACAGATATAATCACAATCACTCTTATGCATATTTTATGGCATGAAAAAACCATCTGCTGTAATCAACAATGTACCATAGATGTGCACATTCCTTCACAATCAACTGTGAATTTCCAAACAACTCTTTTATATTCCATGATTTCGATTTGATGTTGAAACGATGAATTTGTTTGACATATACTTATCAACAAGTTGAAATGCGTATAATATCGTTCAATTAAATAACGCAAGTTACACCGTTGCAATCATTTTGACTGTGCCATTTTTCAATACCAGACAATTTCAATTGACAATATAATACTGTTGAAGTATATTTTTTCGAAATGGTCAAAAGGTTGGAATTTCATAAATAGTCCATTATATACTGGCATTTGTATTCGCACCGTTGCTGTACTTAATCAGTACTTATGCTCTATATCCATTGAAATTTATTTCGTGTGTACTTTGCGCTAGTTAATGTTGCCTCTAGTGAGTTGTGTCTTGAGTACATTCAAAGTATTGTTGTCATACAGTGATGACAGATCTGAATGCCTGTACATTCACATCGAATTAAAATAAATAAATTGAATACAATAAATAGAGGAAATTGTTTTGGCTCATCATTTCATTGTACATTGCTCTAGTGTGATAGGTTTTTGAACAAAATTTAGAAATCGTTGGCAAAATGATCAAAGCGATTCTCGTTTTTAATAACCATGGAAGGCCTAGACTCTCAAAATTTTATCAATACTTTGTAAGTGACATGAATTAAATTAATAAATGCAATCACATATGATATCATTGTGCCCACTGGTTCACATATGGAACAGCAATGAAATCCTATGCAAATTAATAATGTTGATTTAAACACAACGAAAATTCTTTCAATTCGCACAGAATGAAGACATTCAACAGCAGATAATAAAAGAAACATTCCAGCTGGTGTCCAAGCGAGACGATAACGTTAGTTCATGTTAATAATAATCTCTTTCCAATTGGATTATATTAGTTTCTTTCCCATTTATCTTGAATTTAATAAAGGTTTGCAATTTCCTGGAGGGTGGAAGTCTGATTGGTGGTTCCGATTACAAATTAATCTATCGACACTATGCAACGCTGTATTTTGTGTTTTGTGTTGATTCATCTGAGAGTGAGCTGGGCATTCTTGACCTTATTCAAGTCTTTGTCGAAACATTGGACAAATGTTTTGAAAATGTTTGTGAACTGGATTTGATTTTTCATGCTGATGCCGTGCACCATATTCTAGCCGAACTTGTGATGGGTAAAATATGATATATCATCCACTCTCTCTCTCTCTCTCTCTCTCTCTCTCTCTCTCTCTCTCTCTCTCTCTCTCTCTCTTTCTCTCTCTCTCTCTCTCTCTCTCTCTCTCTCTCTCTAATTTGACTTCAATTCGACGAAGGATCGATCGAAGTTCTCATTTAAAACTTTAGTAACTTCAGCAATTGTTCCATGAAACAAGAAACAGATCGATTTTTTCAGAAATCCCATAGCGAATGGTTGAAATTGCAACAAAAATACATTACATATTGTGCATTTTTCTTGATGTTTCAGGTGGAATGGTGTTACAAACAAACATGTCTGATATTTTAGCACGAATCGAAGATCAAAACCGATTAGTTAAGCAAGAAGCTGGTTTATCAGCAGCTCCGGCTGCCGTCGTGCATCAACTAAAGAGCATGAATCTACCGCAACAATTCAAAGACATGAAACTTCCAGATCTACCACAAGCGATCAAGGTATGTTTCTGATTTGTCAACGTGCGGCTGCACAGCATCTATTAATTTGAATAATTACCCCATTATTTTCATTGCTTGTCATTCTATCTATTTGAAGGATTTAAAATTTTGACCCAACAACAACTATCAGAAGTACGAGACAAAGTCAGATGATAGTGAATCGATTGTACGTTAAAGAGTACTGGTTTTGAGTGGCAACGTTAGCGGCAACTCTTTGTATATTCATAAATAGAGAAAGAAAAAAAAACGAACCATAAATCCAATTTGTTTTTGTATTGCATTTTTTGATTTAAGCAAAATAAACGTAATATTTAGCACCAAGATTTGATCAATGCTTTTCATATACAAACACATAAAAGAGTTCTTATTGCTGACCAACGTGAAAAAAATTCATTTTGATGAGAGCGCTGGAATTAAACTATACGTGCGAGAGCCAGAGAGTGCGTTTCATACTAGAACTGTCGGCCCGCACAGTGTACGGTGTACGTGTACGTGTTCATGTGTATGGGTGTGTATTGCGTATGTCTCGGTATGTATCGCCGGTAAATGACAATTTCATAGATTTAACGTTCAACCGTCTTGAATTTTGAGTCAGTCGAAAAAGTGCAGAGTGGCAGTGAACAAGCCATTGATTAATGTGTGTGTGTGTGTGTGTGCATTTGATTCACTATTCCATTTAAATCTTCTTATTGCATTGAAATATTTACCAAAGACAAACGACATTTCGATGGCCAATACAAAATACAAATGACAATTTACTTTTGCACTGGCCAAACCGAATTTTTTTTCGTTGTTGTCGATGAATAAAACTTCAATTCATTCAACAGACAAAAGAAATCACATTTGTTTTGTGTGTGAATATGTGTATTCGTGTGTATGTGTATAAGTATCTCAAGATTTTTCCCATAAAATATTTATCACCACTTTAAACAAAATTTGGTGAAACAAATCGAAAATGTCTATGGCATTTCCAATAAATAAAGGAATCAAATTTTTACTCTGCGATCAGTGCATCAATCGTCGTTAATAAGATTTTTGGTAAAACGAAATTCCGTTTTGCTGATCACAGATTCAAGTCAACACAAACATAATTCAAACAGAAAAAAAAAACATTTTTTTTTTGTTGGTTATACCCATGGAATTTATTTTGCCGTATTCATGTATGCGATAGAATTTGTATGTTTGTTGTTGATTTTTGATTCTTGTTGTGTATCATTCGGTTGTGTTGGTGTCGACAACGCCAAATCGGTAACAAAGACCATCAAAGTGTGACATCATTCGGTTGTGGCAAAATGGCTTTACAATACGAAAAAAAAAACTGTTGATGTATTTGTGTTTGTATATACTTACATACCACAAGCAGAAAAAGCTTTTTATCCATGGTAATTTTTTTTCTCTCTCTCTCTCTGTCGTTCGCTCGTTCGTTCGTTCATTCGTTCGTGTTCGAAAATCCAAATCCATTTCCATCTCGCATTTCTTTTGGAAAGTATCATTTTCTTCATTTAATAAAGTTTTTTTTTTTCTCATTATTTTGTATTTGGTTCAATTTTCGTTTCACTCTTCCGGTAAATTCAGTTCGGTTTCAATAACAACAACAACGACAACGGCAACGACAGAAAAAAACACGAAATTCCTTCATCGACGCATTCGTTCGTTTCATTCGTTTTAGGAAAGAATCGGCTTTGAATGGAGCCATCAGAAATAATTTGGTGTTAGTGTAAAAGAATTCAAAAGATTTTATTGGCGAAGACTCATAATATCGTTATTATCTCACTTTCATACGTGGTATCTTTAGCTATATGCGATATAATGTATGTGGAATTTGAAAAAAAAAAAATTCATGGTGTGCGTACGGAATACACAGATAGTTCCATTTCATTCTACTTCAACTTCATGTTTTCACTTCGATTCGCCTTTTCATCTTCTTTTTTTTTTTATCGAGAACTGTTTTGGTTTATCTTTTAATGTACAGACATTTTTAAATTAGTCAAACGCTCCAAACGACTAGTTGTCGGCAGAGAGTGAATATTCTAATGCTTGCTCACATTTCTCTCTGTCTATTTTTTTTTCTCCTGTTGTGTGTGCGTGATTGTGTTTTCTAAGTTATTTATTGTTTATTTGCCTATGTTGCCGATAGTAATTTTCGGCAATAATCAGTTTGTGTACATTAACAAAAACAACAACAACAACAACAAAAAAAACTCATCAACGTCATTGCTACTGTTTTTTATGGTTGTTTAAATTCCACACATATTCACACGCAGAACTGCATGCACCAATGTGATCTTGAAATCAATCAGTGGTTACACATTCGGTTTCAATTTGTATTTAAGTTTTGGGTTTTTTTTTCTATTCTGTTTTTTTCTCCAGATATTTGCAACACATATTGCGGCAAAACATATGCATTTTTGCAGTTCAACATAAAAAGACACAGTGCTCTGAAATCAAGTGTTACGTCAAACATTTAATTTTAAATAGCTGAAACTACTTTGCTAAACACCTAAGCGGTGGAGAAAAACAAAACGAGAAGAAAACAACCACATTTATATTAGAGAATAGCACAAACAGAGGTTATCAACGGAAAACAGAAAAAAAAAATTTATTAAGTGAAAACAAGTAATAAAAAGAATTGTTAGTAAAAATGAGTGATGAATCAGTCGTCGATCGGAATGATCCAGCATTGAAGTATCTTACGGTAGAAAAGAATCAATTCAATGATCCGGCAACGCAAGCAGAATGGACACAAAAGCGTCTCGTTTGGGTACCGCATGAGTCACAGGTGAGAAATTCGAAAAGTAAAACGAAAAAAAAAACAACAAAACATAACAAGAGAGGCATTCCGCTGCTGCCAAGTTTTTTTGTGGTTACTCATTCTTAGATAAAAAAAAAAAGCTATACATAGGCTTATGTCATCAACTTTTCCCTGTATCACGTACACTTGGAATTTAAGAAAACATTAAGACGTTTTAGCGTTTCAGTGGAAAGTTTTTTTCTTCTTCTTCTTCTTCTTCTTCTTCTTCTTCTTCTTCTTCTTCTTCTTCTTCTTCTTCTGTTTTGTTTCTTCTCTTTTAGTTCACCACAATTTAAATTTATTTATTTTTTGTCTTCGTTTACGTTTTGAAAAACCTAACCTTGTCCAAAAAAAATATGTATATGGAGTAAATGCAGTGTACGAATCATTCATTACAGCCAAACAAAACATTTCATCGCATTTGTATAATGATGGCGTGTACTCATATTAACTTATACTCCTATATATTTATATTATATATAATATATATATTTCGTTATATTCAGAACTTCTTCCGAGCGCTAAACTAAAACGAAATGAAGATCTTTTGCTGTGTTTCACATGTTTATTGTGTGTTGTTTTTTTCTCTTATTTTTCTTCTCCTCTCTTCTCTCACATTTTTTTGAGATATGGCTTTAAATTTGTATTAGTGTTTTTTGCATTACAACCGTCCAAATTCGGGTGTGCCATTGTATCTGCTTCAATTTTTGTTTTTTTTTTCCTCTCCATAATTGTTTGCTGCAGCGATCTTTCCTTATTTTTGTAATTTCACGGCGCGACGCATACACATGTATTTAACCACACTTGAATGCATTAGCGCTGTGAACTATATATTCATTATTGTATGTTTGTTCGTTTGTTCGTTCAGTGCTCTTGCGATACGGCACACTTTAATGTGCACACACACACACACACAAATTTCAATTCTAACATTGAAAATGCATATTTAGATTAGTGAAATGATAGTTGTATTGGCTCCTTTGTTTTTATCCCTACATAAAAAAAAAACAATGTAAAAAAAATATATATATATGATTGACTGAATGAGCGATTATTTTCGTTTGATGACTTCGCCGCTATGATAATTGAATGTTGAACACACTTGACATGTGTAATTAAATTCAATTTGCGAACACAGCTCAATGAAATATGTATATTGATTGAATCATTTTCGGTTTTTAAATAATACATTATCATTGACAGGGCTTTGTTGCGGCCAGCATAAAAAAGGAAAATGGAGATGAGGTGGAGGTGGAATTGGCCGAAACCGGCAAACGTGTTACTATCCAACGTGATGACATCCAAAAAATGAATCCACCAAAATTCGATAAAGTCGAAGATATGGCCGAATTGACCTGCTTAAATGAAGCGAGCGTTCTGCACAATATCAAAGATCGATACTATTCCGGATTGATCTATGTAAGTATTTTCTATTTTTATGCTATTTCACATGGAATCAAAACTTGTTATGAAGTAATACTATCGGTATTTGAAGAAGAAAAATCGATTTGTTTACGAAACGATCGATTGGTCATGAAAATAAGAAAAACCATTTTTCACAGCAGTCTAATTGGTTTCAAGATCAAATCGATGCTAAAAAATGACGACGGCTAAAATAGTTATATAATTTACAAAATGAGCTATTTGTTTTGCCGTGCACTTACTCTCGTGCACACATACACCATGCATTGCTTTGTTTCTGACCATTTTTATTGGATTTGATCGCAAAAATGAAAAGAAAAGAACACTAGAAAGAACACGCTTTCGTCCATACTTCGTTAAAACAAATGTTTATCTGCTTTCAGTTCATTGCAATGTTATTATCATTAATTAAAGATGCATCATGCTTCGAGCTACTCTCAATTTACACTGTCTCAGCGAATGCAAAGCTGAACTGTTCGAATCTTAAAACCAAATACTTATCTCTATTTATATGAACAACGGATATGTATATATATGTAACACCAACGTCTCTCGTTCCAATGAGGCAGAATCAGCAGAATGTTTGTTGTTGTTGTTATTGTCTTTCGTTTTTGTAATGCATTCAGAACAGAAGTTCCGATTATTCCAAAGAGGGTCACACCGACTCTTTATTTGGTCTTCGCTCTCAAGCAGAAAAATATTCACATCAGCAAAAACGATCGGCCAACGTACCATTTACTCCGAACATATGAAAATTAGCAACAATTTATGCAGAGTCAAGTGTCACTTGATTTTCTACAGTAAAAGACATGCATGTATGATTCATACGATAATTAATAAACGGAGATGTTCATGTGTTACAAACGAAAGATCAATATCATAACGACTTTACGTTGAATTTTTGTGAAAATTTGCATCATGTGTACGGTTTTTTGTTTCGCTTCGACCACTCGCTTCTTAAAAAAACCACTTGAAGAATGCCATGTGTCATAGAGAGTGACAAACGGAATCCGGCTGTGCTGAGTAATATCAATACATGATAACTCTTCATAACAGAAGAATGAAAAATGTAGCTCAAATGAGAACAATGAACCGAAAATAGCGATTTTTTGCACTCTGAAAATGAATAATTCGGCAAAGACAACAGAGAGAGAGAGAGAGGAAATAATGGTCGTTTCAATTCGTACGATTTTCAAAGTGGGATGTCTACGTATAATCGCCCGGTGTGTGGGCTATTTCAAGCCATTTTTCCCTTCTTTTTATGCGTTTTGATTATTTGCCAGAAATAGCAAGTTTGATAATCAAAAATTGCCAATTCAACGATTCAAATTTAACGATCCAATTTAACTTTTTTTTTTCAATTCTTTTTTGAACTAATTTAATGCAAAACAATGATAATTTTAATTTTTTTCCTGCTTCACATTTTTGTAGACATATTCGGGCCTGTTTTGTGTGGTAGTTAATCCATACAAAAAACTTTCTATTTATACGGAAAAAATTATGGAGCGTTATAAAGGTATAAAGCGTCATGAAGTCCCACCACATGTGTTTGCCATTACAGATAGCGCCTACAGATCAATGTTACAAGGTTAGTATACAAGTATTTGAAAAATCCTTAATTTCAAACCGGCGCGCATTGCATTGCATTTGAATACAGTGCGAGAATATTTGAATGCAATTTAGGTAGCACGACTTCCAGTATATTGGAATGTCCAACTGTGGATTTCAAGGAACAATTGTGTCGTTGGGAATAAAAATGGGATTAGCCGAAACCGCGTATTTCTATGTGAATCATTTTTGTGTTTCTGGTACGAGATATGGTGCAAGTATACCAAAGATAAAGATCTTGAAATGTTCTAAAACATTGCAGAACACATTTGTCTTCTATCTCTTACCAGGAACACAAAAATGATTCGCATATAAACGAGCGGTTTCGGCTACTCCCATTTTTATTCCCAACGACACAATTTTACTGTTGAAGTTAACGGTTATTTGAAACATCTTCGAGTTTGAACATCATTTGGGTTTGTTTGGTGCTCTTGTCGTTGTTGCGTTTGCCGCTGTTGCTCTGTTTTTTCCTTCTACTTTTTCGTCGGGTTTCATTCTCTATTTTTTTTGCACATGTCAATACAGTCATTTTTATTGAAAAGTTCAAGCTATAAATGTACAATAATAAATATGATCTGTGTGTAGTTCAGATTGTCTTGCGTGTGGCAAAAATATGTTTGCATGTATGTGTAACCACAATGTGAAATCAGGCACAAAGCGATTTTTTTTTCTTCACCAAAGCATATGTTTCAATAAAACGAACTGCGAATATCACTCCTTAAACTCTTTATATGGTGATTTTAAAATCGCAAATAGTCATTGAATAGACGACGAATATGTGCACAGTCAATCAATGGTAGTAACGAAAATGTAAATTGCAGTCGTGTTTGTTTTATTTTTTATTTTTCCTACTTCTTTTTTTTTCGTTTATACTTCATATCACATTTCTCATTTACCGCTGATTCATTCGATGAAGTGAATATATTTATGTATTGCCTTTTTTCCATTAAAAACAGACTTTTTCGATTTTATATATTAATAATTTCTTTCGACAACTGACCCGAATTCAAATCAATACAAATAAAGAGCAAAACCATAGTTGCAATGATGTAATAGAATCTTACGGCTTTAGATTCATATAAATGTGTGACTATTTAAGACGATCATTATTTTTCTATTGAATTCAAGAGCGTTTGCGATTTTCGGGCACAAAGCTGTTGACGCGTCAACAAACAACCTTATCTTCAAGTCAACAAAATGACTCATAGCACATTTTTCCGCTACTGAAATCATCTAATCGTATACATGTGTACGTTTATCTTTATTTCCAAACAGATCGCGAAGATCAATCAATTCTGTGTACTGGCGAATCCGGAGCTGGTAAAACAGAGAACACCAAGAAAGTTATACAGTATTTGGCATATGTCGCCGCATCCAAACCAAAAGGATCCGGATCGGTAAGTAAAATCGGCACATTTCCAATCCCAATTACAATCATAGCGTAGTTTAAATACATAGATTTTTTCAGTAAATTCGATTAAATCAAATCCCAGAGAAGAATTTTTTGCTGTCGTTCGTTTCTTTGTTTGCTTATATGTTTTCAATTAAAGTTCTAGGTCTCACATTCAAGATTTGCTAGAGAGAAAAAAAAAATCATGCTATGTCGCACATAATATACGCGCGTTACCTTTTAGAGTTCAATTTTTCATGCATAATACGTGGGAATTCCGATATTCCGATACCAAATACCGACTTTTATATAACTCAAACATATGAATCATGTGTATACGAATTTCTTTCTCGTGGCTCCAACAAACATTTGCACGTCTGTTTATCTATTTATGGTATTGTCAGCCATTTAATACGAAAATCAAAGCAAAATATCTATTCAGCGCTCATATGATTTGAAGACATTGCCAAAAATGGACACAAATCAAATGAATGTTGAGAATCATTTTTATATGTACATACGTAACTTCCGAGATAACTTTATGTTGTTGGTTTTTTGTTTGTTGCTTTCTTGAAATTCATTCTGACCAAATATTCAAAATGACACACGACCGCATACAAAAAAGAAGAAAAAAAAAACGTTTGAGGTGCTCTCATTAACTGTACTGATGGCAAATTTGGCGGTCGCATGTGTTGTATATATATTTTTTTGGGAAAGATAGATTAATGAGCCCAAAACAATGTTACCTTTTATGATGATCCTATCACAATGAATGAAGAAAAAAAATAAAACGGTTTCACGTTTTCAATTTTTCGAAGCTGCATAATTAAAACCGTGTTTTAGTTAAAACATAGCAGCAAATTGTAATAAATATTTGCTCAAAATTGTAAAATTGTGTCACCATTGGCATTATTGTTTGAAAAATTCATTAGCAGCATTGTTTGTTGTCGTCAGCATTATTATTTTGTATCGTCGCCTTATTATTTTGAGCGAAACCAATTTATTTGTTTCATTCAATGGCCAATTTAAATCAATACATTTAAGGGCAGTCAAAAAACGATGATTTCGAAACATAGCATTAAATATAAACTATAATACACACGCATTTTTTTTGGTTCAGTTTTGTTGATTGTACCTTAGACCATGTGATAAAGTCATGGATACTTTGACTTCGATATATTTTAGTTTTCTTGGAAACATTGAAACCAATTTTGTAACCAAAAAATGAGTAGCAATAAATACAACAGTAACATAGCTAGACTTGCACGTCTTCGGTTTGTACCATGTAAAAGATAAGTACCATATATCTACAATTGTCCACTCTGTATACATCGTTCACTTTAGTCTATGTATATTATTTGGTTTGGTATTTTTTCTACATTTTTTATTTGAAAATATTCTTCTGGATTTGCTCTAGTTGGTTTGTTAAAAAAATCGATTTAGATTGTTTATTTTTCTGTTTTATTTCATTTGCTTTTTCTTTCTATTTTCGTTTTATGTTTGAACTACGTCTCCTGCGGAATATGATGATGTTATGTGCTTATTTTTACGATGACATAATGAACAAAAATGAAATATGACCCTTGAAATCCCAACTCATTGGCATTGAACGTATAAAAACCAAAACATTGAACAAATATTTCAATCGAAATTATTGGAATGGTAATGCATTTGATCACGCTACGATCTTTGTGATACGATTCGGGCATGAACCAATTGTCCATGTTTCCAAATGAAATCGATTGATATTGTCAAATATTGTTTCACACTTCGAATGAACAAAAAATCCCCCCTTGCACATATAAATATGAATATGCACACAATCAAAAAAAAAAAATTAAACAGGCTCCACATCCAGCACTCATTATCGTAAGTATGAAATGCCAGCAATTATTTTTACAATATTTTTCCAACTTCTGAATAAGCGAACAAAAATCGCATTCATCACACATAACACCAATTTCATGGGCAAAATACGAAATTTTACAAAACTTAAGGAAGAAACCTAAATTAAATCAACATTTGCTATCGATTTCATGCGATTACCTATTCATTTGCTATTGACCAATTATTCAATCAGAGCAGAAAAATCTTGATTTGATGTGAAAAATAATTATGTTTCTTCCTTACATTAATTTGTTGTTTTTACCAAGCAATGTTTTAAAAATGTGCACTAATACCACATGGTGGCAGCTGCCGTCGTGTGACTACACTATACAATTAAAAAAACAAAAAAATTAAATTAATTTGTTCGGTCAATTATTTGAAGACAGTTTTATAGACAATTTCTTTGAAAACTAAATAAATTCGTTTTAAGATTAAAATAATGCTTGGTCGCTATCATAAAATTTAAATTTCATTATAATATAATTTACTATTTCACCATTTTTATTTCTTTTTTCATTTTTTTTCGACATTTGTTCTTCCACTGCAACATCGATCGTTATGAAAATTCCAATTAAAATAACCGAAAAAAAAACAAATCGAAAAAATAAATAAAAATGGACCTGAATATAAATCGACGCTCTTCATTTTCAATGTGACCATAACATACACTGCGTTAAAATACTGTGCTCTCGCTTTCTCTTATCGATAACACTAACCATGCCTAATTGATAAAACGCATTTCTGCACATAAATCATAATATCCTGAAACAATCTATATATACATATTTACACATACACATCTCATTCATCATTGAAAATACCGATATCATCGCGGGAACGGATAAATGAACCAAATCACAATACAAAAAATCTATTTCCATTCATTTTTGACCACAATGATCATATGCGATGCCATTTCGAAATACAAAAAAAAAAAAAAAAACAAACAAACCAAAAACACTAAACTAACATGAATATGTCAATTTTGTATTGGTTTAAGCAGAACCATTCATCATTTGCGGTAAAGTATTTTCTTTCATTTTTGTTTTGGTTGTATTGAATTCCATTGTTAATACCTATATATATATTCGCACTATTCATAGTTGCTTCGTTACAATATTGTAAAGAAATATATACCCATAGAAAGAGAGATAAAATATACGAAAATTTTGTTGATTCTGTATTTTACCATAGCAACAATCACAATCAATGATACGAATCATTCGATTCAATTCTATTCCATTCCATTCCATTCGATTTAAATTCCATTGGTAATGATTTAATCATAAATCGATCATTTCATCAAGTAATTTTCTACGTATTTCATTCATACTTGTACTCTCATCTATGATTCACTCTTTAAAATTCTCTCATAACATCCACTTAGATGTGGATATACCATTTCATAATATTTCATAGTACATTCGACTTTAAAAAAAATCTCTTATCATATCCCACACCCAAGAATAATTCGAAATCAACTGTTCATTCAATTATTTGAATGTGTTTTGGAAAAGTGAACTCTCGATTAGTCTGCTTAAAACAAATTCAATCCCATCTGTGTAAATTACAAGTGCTCCTACCAAATTTCATTTATCATTGAAACCATACCACGTGTTTGTACAAAGGTTGTTTCGATTTTGAACACAACATTTAATGGTCTTTGTTTCACATTTGTATTTACTTGCAGGGCGAATTGGAGCAACAACTTTTACAAGCCAATCCGATTTTGGAAGCGTTCGGTAATGCAAAAACTGTGAAAAACGACAACTCGTCCCGTTTTGTAAGTATTGATCGGTCGATTCTACAATAAATGGATTTACTCGACTATGATAGTCAACCATAATATGCAAAGAATTAACTAATTTTGTTTCTATTCAATTTAAAACCACAACAACAACAGGGTAAATTCATTCGAATCAATTTTGATGCGTCCGGCTACATATCAGGTGCTAATATCGAAACCTATTTACTTGAAAAATCTCGTGCCATTCGTCAGGCGAAGGATGAACGAACATTCCATATATTTTATCAGCTGTTGGCTGGTGCAACGCCAGAACAAAAAGAAAAGTTTATATTAGATGACATAAAAACGTATGCATTTTTGTCGAATGGCAGTCTGCCCGTACCTGGTGTCGATGACTATGCCGAATTCCAAGCAACGGTGAAGAGCATGGACATTATGGGCATGACTTCTGATGATTTCAATTCAATATTTCGTATCGTTAGTGCTGTCTTGTTATTCGGTTGCATGAAATTCAAGCAAGAACGAAGTTCAGACCAGGCCACATTACCCGACAACACGGTGGCACAGAAGATAGCGCATCTGTTAGGCTTAAATGTGACAGACATGACTCGTGCATTCCTAACACCGCGTATCAAAGTCGGTCGCGATTTCGTGACAAAAGCACAAACAAAGGAACAAGTTGAGTTTGCTGTTGAAGCAATTGCTAAAGCGTGCTATGAACGTATGTTCAAATGGCTTGTCAACCGTATCAATCGCTCGTTGGATCGTACAAAGCGACAGGGTGCATCATTCATTGGCATTTTGGATATGGCCGGTTTTGAAATATTCGAATTGAATTCATTTGAACAATTGTGCATCAATTACACGAACGAAAAGCTGCAACAACTCTTCAACCACACCATGTTCATTCTCGAGCAAGAAGAGTATCAACGCGAAGGCATCGAATGGAAATTCATCGATTTTGGCTTGGATCTGCAGCCAACTATTGATTTGATCGACAAACCGGGCGGTATTATGGCTTTGCTCGACGAAGAATGCTGGTTCCCAAAAGCCACCGACAAAACATTCGTCGAGAAATTGATAAATGCCCATTCAATGCACCCGAAATTCATGAAGACCGATTTCCGTGGTGTTGCCGATTTCGCCATCGTTCATTATGCCGGCAAGGTTGACTATTCGGCCAACAAATGGCTCATGAAGAACATGGACCCATTGAACGAGAACATCGTATCGTTGTTGCAAGCGTCACAGGATCCATTTGTCGTGAACATTTGGAAAGATGCTGAAATTGTTGGCATGGCTCAACAAGCGCTCACCGACACCCAATTCGGTGCTCGTACTCGTAAAGGTATGTTCCGTACCGTTTCGCATTTGTATAAAGACCAATTGGCCAAACTGATGGACACATTGCGCAACACCAATCCAAACTTTGTGCGATGCATCATACCAAATCACGAGAAGCGATCGGGCAAAATCGATGCACCACTTGTACTTGATCAGTTGCGTTGCAACGGTGTACTCGAAGGTATTCGAATCTGTCGTCAAGGTTTCCCAAATCGTATTCCATTCCAAGAATTCCGTCAACGCTACGAACTGCTCACACCGAATGTCATATCGAAGGGTTTCATGGATGGCAAAAAGGCCTGCGAACAAATGATCCATGCATTGGAGCTTGACTCAAACCTTTTCCGTGTCGGACAGTCAAAGATTTTCTTCCGTGCCGGTGTTTTGGCTCATCTTGAAGAGGAGCGCGATTATAAGATCACCGATTTGATTGTTAACTTCCAAGCGTTCTGCAGAGGTTTCTTAGCTCGTCGCAACTACCAAAAACGCTTACAACAATTGAACGCGATTCGTATCATTCAACGCAACTGTGCTGCTTACTTAAAACTCCGTAACTGGCAATGGTGGCGTTTGTACACCAAGGTCAAACCGTTGTTGGAAGTCACCAAACAAGAGGAGAAACTGGTGCAGAAAGAAGACGAATTGAAGCAAGTACGCGAAAAATTGGATGTTCTGTCACGTGATGCACAGGACTATGAGCGCAAATTCCAACAGGCAATCGAAGAGAAAACCCATTTGGCCGAACAACTGCAGGCTGAAATCGAATTGTGTGCAGAAGCCGAGGAAAGTCGCATTCGACTTGTGGCCAGAAAACAAGAGCTTGAAGAAATGATATCCGAATTGGAGAGCCGAATCGTTGAGGAAGAAGAACGTGCCGGCAATCTTAGTGCTGAAAAGAAGAAGCTACAGTTGAACATCCAAGATCTCGAAGAGCAACTGGAAGAAGAGGAAAGTGCACGCCAAAAATTGCAACTGGAAAAGGTGCAATTGGACGCCAAGATCAAGAAATACGAAGAAGATTTGGCTGCAACTGACGATCAAAATCAAAAACTTATCAAAGGTGAGTGCGACAAGGCAAATTGAATTGTTTTTTTATCTTTCATTTTTCATTCAAACATCAATGCTGTTAACTCTTCTATTGAATCATTTGCATTACAGAAAAGAAAGCGCTTGAAGAGCGTGCCAATGATCTGTCGCAAACATTGGCCGAAGAAGAGGAGAAAGCAAAGCATTTAACGAAATTAAAGGCCAAACATGAGCTTACAATCGCTGAACTCGAGGAGCGTCTTCTGAAAGATCATCAACAGCGCCAGGAGACCGATCGCAGCAAGCGAAAAATCGAAACCGAACTCGCCGATTTGCGTGACCAATTGAACGAACGGCGCATTCAAATCGAAGAGTTGCAAGTGCAACTTGCCAAGCGTGAAGATGAACTCACGCAAACACTGTTGCGCATCGATGAAGAATCGGCGGCCAAAGCACAAGCGCAAAAGATTCAACGCGAACTTGAGTCACAGCTCACTGAAATTCAAGAAGATCTCGAAGCCGAGAAATTGGCCCGTGCCAAAGCGGAAAAATACCGCCGTGATCTCAGCGAAGAGTTGGAGGCATTGAAAAATGAACTCTTGGATTCGTTGGACACAACCGCCGCCCAACAAGAGCTCCGATCAAAACGCGAACAAGAGTTGGCCTCGCTGAAGAAGAATCTCGAAGAGGAGACCATGTCGCACGAGAGTTACGTACAAGAAATGCGCCACAAACATTCCCAAGAACTCGCAACCGTTAATGATCAAATGGAAAATGTGAAGAAAACACGAGCCGGCCTCGAAAAGGCCAAACAAACATTGGAAGCCGAAAATGCCGATCTTGCTACTGAATTGCGAAATGTTAATTCATCGAAACAAGAGAATGACCGACGCCGCAAACAGGCCGAAAGTCAAATTGCTGAACTTCAAGTAAGATTTAACTTAGTTAGTGTGTGATTGTTTTTCTGCGTTTGAATTTAGCTAACTCTGTTTTCCATGTATTACCAACCTATCAATAGATCAAACTGGCTGACGTTGAGCGAGTACGGTCCGAGCTTCAAGAGCGTGATGCCAAGTTACAACAAGAAATTGAAAATATTACGGAACAATTGGAGGTGGCTGAGTTGAAAGCAGCCGCAGCACTTAAATCGGCCGCCACAATGGACAGTCAATTCGCCGAAACTCAACAACTTTTGGAAGAAGAAACGCGCCAAAAGTTGGCTTTGAGTACAAAGTTACGTCAACTCGAATCGGAGAAGGAGTCACTACAGGAACAGCTGGAAGAAGATGAAGAAATGAAGAAGAACTATGAACGCAAATTGGCTGAAGTCAATCAACAAATGCAAGAGCTTAAGAAGAAGGCTGAAGAAGATAGTGATTTGGTCAAAGATTTGGAAGAGGCACGCAAAAAGAGCAATAAAGGTATGTTGTGTTGGCTATTTGACGATGGTCCAAGCGAAATTAAATTCAAAATACTAATTCATTTTCGTATTCTGTTCAGATATCGAGGCATTGCAGCGTCAAATTCAGGAATTACAGGCAACCAATGATCGTTTGGATAAGAGTAAGAAGAAGATCCAATCCGAGTTGGAAGACGCAACAATTGAATTAGAAGCACAAAGAACAAAGGTATTGGATTTGGAGAAGAAACAAAAGAACTTCGACAAGGTGTTGGCCGAAGAGAAAGCAATCAGTGAAGCGCACGCACAAGAGCGAGATACTGCCGAACGGGAAGCGCGTGAAAAGGAAACCAAAGTGTTGTCTTTGACACGCGAACTCGATGAGGCATTGGATAAGATTGATGATTTAGAACAAAAGCGAAAGGCACTTCAGAATGAACTAGACGAATTGGCCAATTCACAAGGCACTGCCGACAAAAATGTGCACGAATTGGAAAAGGCAAAACGCGCACTCGAAGGCCAATTGGCTGAGTTGAAATCACAAAACGAGGAACTTGAAGATGACTTGCAACTGACCGAAGATGCCAAATTGCGTTTGGAGGTGAATATGCAAGCATTACGTGCCCAATTCGAACGCGACATTCAGTCAAAGGAAGAACAAGCGGAAGAAAAACGTCGTGGCCTGGTCAAGGCGCTACGTGATATGGAAACCGAACTCGATGAAGAACGAAAGCAACGTGCAGGTAAGCGATCTATATTTATACATCATAAAACCATACTGACGCTAGCGATTTTGACTGCGAGTCTCTTTTTGTCAATAACAAATGATGTATTTTGTATATAGCCGCCATTGCTGCAAAGAAGAAGCTTGAAAGTGACCTCAAGGACATTGAAGCCACTTTGGAAATGCACAACAAGATGAAAGAAGATGCAGTCAAGCAGGCCAAAAAACTACAGGGTCAAATTAAGGATGCATTGCGCGATGCCGAAGATGCTCGGGTTGCGAAAGAAGAGTTGGCCGCCGCATGCAAAGAGGCAGAACGAAAGTCAAAGGCACTTGAAGCCGAAGTAATGCAACTTACGGAAGATTTAGCCAGTTCGGACCGTGTTAAGCGTGCTGCTGAAGTTGAACGTGATGAACTTCTCGATGAAATGCAAACGCTCACAAACAAAACGACCTTGATTGTCGATGAGAAGCGACGCCTGGAAGCCCGTATCGCCTCACTTGAAGAAGAATTGGAAGAGGAACAATCCAATTCCGAGGTTATTCTGGAACGTAATCGCAAATCTCAACTTACTATCGAACAACTCAGTACGGAACTTGCCACGGAAAGATCCAACACAGGTTTGTTACTTACGCTCGTTTTGATTTTATTTCCACCCAGAAAAAAAAAGAAATTCATTAATCTAACATTACAATTTCCTTCATTCTTGTCCATTTTTACGTAGTTAAAACCGAAAATGCACGTGCCCTCCTCGAACGCCAGAGCAAAGAGCTCAAAGCCAAATTGGCTGAAATCGAGACCACACAACGGACAAAGGTCAAGGCAACCATTTCTGCATTGGAAGGCAAAATTACTAATTTAGAAGAACAATTGGAAAATGAAACGAAAGAGCGTTTGCTTCAGCAAAAGTCTAACCGCAAACTGGACAAGAAGATCAAGGAACTCACACTTAACATCGAAGATGAACGTCGTCATGCTGATCAATATAAAGAACAAATTGAAAAGGTATGCAATCGCAATTTTTGTCCAGCAAAAATGAGAACCACAATTTAGCCTCAGTGAGACTAAACTCTGAATTTCGCCCTCTGGATGTCAAATATCGAACATAACATTTACTGGATAATTTTGAAACGAAATTAATTAACACATCTATATTTCTAAATAGGGCAACACCCGCATGAAGACACTCAAGCGAAATGTCGATGAATTAGAAGAGGAAATGCAGAAAGAAAAGGCTCAAAAACGAAAAGCACAAAGAGAGTGCGAAGAAATGATTGAAACGATTGAAGCACTTAACCGAGAAATCAACTCTCTCAAAGCCAAACTTAGGTGATTATCGGTGAAATAAAACAACAATTCACTATTTAAAAAGTACTAACTTTAACCATTTTGGATTTACTTTCAGACGTGGCGGAGGCAGTATAAGCTTAAGTTCATCGCGTCTTGCATCGCGTATCACGTCCGATGACAATTCCACAAAGAATGAGTCTGTAGATGAATCCTTAGACGAATCAAACTAAATGAACAACTCCAATAATTTCATTCAATTTTTTTTTAACGAATAAAAAGAGGAGAAGAGAAACACTTAAAAAATAAATCATAAATCCAAATACATTTGTAAATCAAAAAAACATGAAATTCCGTTAACTCGTTATGATAACGTTACCAGAAGGCATTACTATCCTTTGTTTTCTTTATTTTAATTAATTATTTTCTTTAATACTCGAATGAATATAGTATATCTAGCGTAATTGCCGATGATAATATTTGGAAAAATAAGCAGACGAAAAAAAAAAGAATGAATAGAGAAAACGATTGCGATATATGCGTTGAATATGTTTGGTTTTATGATGTTAGCGTGTTTTAATCGAAATGATGTTATTAATGTTAAAATGAGCACGACTCTTTGGTTATAACTAACATATTTATACGTATCACATCAATGTTAACGTGTCGCCTCATTATCGCTCTATATTGATTGTTCTATCGTTCGAACAAACAAATGGAAATTGATTTGAATAGCATCATTACTGTATGGATAGGCATTTGGTTAGTTTGTATTTGTTCGGATTCGATTGTAGCACATCAATGGCAATTACGAAGAATTCTAAATTCATTCGGGAATTCGAATTCTATGCTTAAAGCTCACACACACACACATACATATACACCAAGCCCATGCTTGCTGAAAATTTATTTGATTTCAAAACATTTCTTAAGTAAAATGGCCTAAATTTCTTACGTACAATTCTATCAATTGCTTTTTTTTATTGTTTACATGTAATAGAATCGAGTACAATTTGCTCACATGAAGTGCTAGTAACGACCGACGTATTATATTACGCGGTATTCAACTTCTCTTTTTTTTACATGAGCGATCAATACACATTGAAATATATATGCTTTCAAGCGTACCGTGCCATTTTTCAACTCTTTTCCATTGATAATGTAATCAAATCATCAAAAAAATGCAACAATTTTAATGAAAATAGATACATAACCATATAATAACTTTTTTTTGGGAAAATCGTTGAAAATTGGGACATAAATCTAAAATAAAACTTTGTTGTGTCAACAAAAAAAATGTAAAAGAATTATTGTTTTTAAAGGTATTCTTTATATTATCCATATCTTTCTAGAAAGTTATTGGCCACCAGTTTCTCTCTTATTATCTGAAGATTTCAAGACCTATCGCGCTTATCGGCCGACTTGCACTTTTCTACTGTTTCAGAACATTTTAATGGTTCAGTTACTTCTAAAGGTCCATTCATTTTCAGTTGAAGTGACTGTGTCTCGTTCAATGGAATATGCTTGATAGATTTTATGTTGTTTTTTTTAACCCTTCATTTTATTCTTTTGTTCTGATCGAATCCCTGATGAAATGAAATCAATATATCCAAACGAAGGTTGTACTTAGAATTTCCAATAGCATGGATAGTCAGAGTGTTGAATGGAAATGGTACTTGAAAAACAATTTACTTAATCTCCATGTTTTCTAATGATAGATTTTGTTACAATTTTTATGCAATCTGATGGTTTATCCATCGATTCAAATGAATTTTTCAATGCTTTATAGCACTGTCAACCTTTGTTTCATCTCAAGTGTTGAATTTCAAAGTAGAAAACTATTTAAAATTTAAAAAAGAGATTGGGTGCAAATTGTTTGGTTCAAACGAGGTTGTGCACCTCAGTTGAAAAATCTCTTGTTGCTCAATGTTGCTGACACTTGTTGTTCCACTGTAATATACAAGTTCTCAGCTAAAAACTAGTACAGCAAATATTCCGCCTGAAATGAACAGCGAACAGAATATAATTTAAAATGAGAAGAAGAAAAATGAAGCTACGAACGGTTATAAACCAATGAGTACCATCGAATTTCAGTTTATGTATCTTTTTTCTCAATAAATTCATTGTCCGATGAAAGCCATTTGTCGACAGAGACTAATGTGTTTATATCAGTAAAACAAACATAAGTTGATAGTCGCTATTACCATCTTTCTATTCGCAGTTATTGGTGGAAATTTGAAATCGAGCATGTTTATTGGACAGTTTCGTATGATGATTTAAATCAAATGAAATTTTAAGCGCACAATACATTCTTTACACAACAAAAACAAATCTATTTGTTGAAGTATTTTGGAAACTAATCGGTTGTTTGTTTCAAGGTACCTCACTAAAACACACACTGAGGGATATCTCTTTTTATGTTATGTCTAACGCATATAAATGGTAGAATCACACATACACACAAAGTTAATAAAGTTATGTTTGTTGCAATACATGTAATCAATAAAGTTAGTCAATTAACAATCTAAGATTAAGAATTCTTTTCTGGTTATCATTATTCATGAAATTGTTTAAAAAGAAAAGAAAAAGAAAAAGAAAAAGAAGAAGAGGCAGAAGTAAACCGACAAATAATAATAATGGAAGTAGTGAGTGAATTTGGAATAAATGAACAAGGTAAATGTGAACAAATTGACTTAATGAACCAGGAATAATTTGACTTTTATACGAAACCAATTAATAAATTTGAAGATCAACTATAAAAATGAACAAAAAAAAAAAAAAAAAAAAACAACGATGTGTTTACTATTTCTCTATGTTTTCTGTTGAATGATTTTAATGGTTAGATGTAGTGAATCGGAACGAAGTAGGGTCATAGAAACAGTATTCTCTTCGTTAAATCTAAGCGCCTCAATGTTTTGTGCGGCTCTCCAGCATCGCGTGAACGAGCACACTGAGGAACAAAGAACCAATTGCTTACTGCTAACAGCATTACCATTTTGCAATAATTATTCGAAACGAAGCCCACAACATCGAATCCGTTTTCTTTGCACTTTGTTCGATAAAGTTCAAATATGTTTGGATTTCGATTTCTCTCTTTGAATTCTCTTTCATGAATCAAATGTACTTACGCGCTCAACAATCATGACCTTTATATTGCTCTCACCTCCGCTGTCTGTCTGTTGCTTGCAGTCATACTATGATGAAATCGAATATTTAATAAACGATACAACATAATACACACACATGTGGGTGTTGCAGCGAAAATTGTTTTCTTCCGTATTATATCGACACCATCGTTGTGTCTGTTTGCTCCGTTCTTTTATCCTTCTTGTTTCTCATTTCTTTCGCATTGCATTATCTTATTATCATTTGTTTGCGTCTTCATTGTTTTATTTTCGATTATATGAGAAACGCTCTTTGATCGGCTTCTGACAGAATATCGATAAAAGTGTTTGTCGATTATATGAGAAAATAGAATTTTTTCCATTGAAAATTCCCTTAATCCACTTAATTGAACACCGCCAACAATCGACGCTAAGAAAACCAATATTTCTCCATTGAACATTTCATATTATGCTGCATTTCTGGATAGTTGAAAATATTCATTCTTTTTCCAACAGATTCATTTTGCTAATATTTCATCGGCACATTTCAATTGATCACTTCTGACCCAATCGATTTTTCTATTAACATAACTGCAAAGAACAAATAAGACAAACTTTTTTTTTTTAATCAATGGCTGATGTTTGCTATTTTTTTATTTCATTTATTATAATTAGAAAGACAAAAAAAAAAATTGTGACTTTACGTGCTCCTCGTAAATCGATAAATATATAATAATAAACTTATTCTCTCTAATTTGAGCTTAACACACAAAATGATGGAACGATTTTATCGAAAGGCGTTAAAAAAGCGCTTATGGAATGAGTTTAAGGAGAAATTATACAATACGCTTACGTGTGGAAAGAATAAGTACAAATTCGGGATACAAATAAAATAAAAAGGAAAAACATACACATAACACCTACACGTGCAGCGTACTACTCAAATTAATCAGAGTCTATAAAGTCAAGGCTCATAAAGACATATTTGAGACAAGGTCTGCTGTTTTTTTGTTGTTGAAAATATCCATAAATGCAATTTACAAGAATCATCACCGCATCCATGGACTTTGAAATTGCGATACATTTCAGGCACGGGTCTAAGGCATACAAACTAATACTATGTACTGAAATGTTGTTGATATCTCTTTGTGCGGAATGTATTATTATTATTATATAAAAAGCTTGGGCACATTGTTTAAACATGCGTCAAACATATTTGTTTCCACGTTTTGGTGGATTAAAAACGTTTCAATAATTATTTTACGAGAGTTACAATGGTCTACATTTTCATAAAAATGCTAGCTTTTTTTCTCTTTCTCGTTATTATGACTATGAATACAAATTTGCACTGAAAGTCTAATGCAATTTGAGACGTGGATATTTTATGGATGGAATACACTTAAGGGCGCTCTATGCAAACTGAAACATCATGCTCAATTCTAGCGAAAAATATGTTGTTACCAACATTTTTGATTTTTGTTTTTTTCTTTCTTCAAATAAGAGAAAAGAAGCAAAGAATCGTTCATCGTTTATCCTGGAAAAAAAATTCGGCTTTTCTTTGGTTCTTTCTAATTCGTAAATAACGACTCCTTATGATTCTTATTAAGTCTAATTCACAACATACATGCATCGATTGCAATATGACACGGCTACCAGCATCTCATCAGTCCTACCGAACATTCTTTGGATAACATTGCTATGTCAACATCTTAAATTGAATGTGCCATTATTGTTCACTGTACAAATACGGTGAATTTCTTATTCATTTGTTGTGTGATGCAATTTATTCGGGTCTAAAATTTGAGTTTTAGACAATAAAATTAACCGTTTCAGTTGGATTTTTCAACGGTTCAATTGTGAAGAAAAGTGACTTGCAACATTCAATATTTTTTTAAATAGCAAATTTTCACAATAAGCATGTCGCTGTTTTGTGTGTTTCGCTTGAAATGCAATAAAATTTCAAAAATAAAAAATAAAATATAAAATAAACAACAAAGAGGCACTTTTAACTGAATAACAGAAAATTAATTATAAGTAATGTACACGATGAGTATTTAAGTAGGTAATCGATTTTCACCTCTTAAGCAAATAGAATGCATGAATGTATAGTGTCTATAGCCTGAAAAAAAGCACCGCAGATAAAAGAAATTCTTCAAATTAACATGAAATGCATTGCGAAAGAAACAACGGCAACCACAAAAAAAAATGTGCACCTACATTAGCACACGTCTGCGCATTTCTTTCAATTCCGCACACAATGCGAAAAAGAAAAGAAAATGGCTAATTGGGCCTTGGTAGTATTCAAAACACGTCATTTATATGGCGTTGTAAATCATTCATGCACCATACGTCTAAGAATTTCTTTTATTCCATTTGTTTGCACAAATTTTTCGCTCTTCTTCACTTTTTTTTTGTGCACACATTGTGTTCGGGATGGCGTTTTTTTGTTTCTCCATTCTACTTTTGGACGGCACCGAATAAATGAAATAATGATGCAAATCATCGTGTTTGTTTCGATTCAACATGCATTTTTGCTATTGTTCATATTCATATTCACCGATACATTGCTTCAAAATCGTTGCATTTCAATAGTTCAGATTGAATGTACAGTTGATCAAAACAAAACCGAAAAATAAGAAAAAGACAACGAATTCCTTTACAATTGGTGCGAGCAGCAAATGCATCAAACTTCCACGGCCCAAACTGACATAATGTCCATTTTTGGGTGCGTTGAAAAAAAAAGAAAACTGAAGTGAATATGAATGTCCGCGAAACAAAATCGTTGCAGTGGTGTTGAATCATCTAATTTCTCGTCTGTGTGTGTATATATATATATGTGTGTGTGTGTGTGTGTGTGTGTGTGTGTGTGTGTGTGTGTGTGTGTGTGTGTGTGTGTGTGTGTGTGTGTGTGTGTGTGTGTGTGTGTGTGTGTGTGTGTGTGTGTGTGTGTGTGTGTGTGTGTGTGTGTGTGTGTGTGTGTGTGTGTGTGTGTGTGTGTGTGTGTGTGTGTGTGTGTGTGTGTGTGTGTGTGTGTGTGTGTGTGT